GTGTGCTAACCGGTTCTAGTAAAATATGGTTGATTAAGATTTAAGAAACGCGAATCTATTTAGTTTATGCTGAATTGGGATCACTGTATATACAACCATATTTACGGCAAGTCGAAAATGATTAGCTAACGATCAACTCAAAGTGATTCTCGATACCGTAATGCGTGTAAATGATCTTTGTTTATGCTGAATTGGGATCACTGTATATAGTGAAGAATGCGAACGATAAACCTAGTTAGTGCGTATATGTTTGCTTGTTCGGTTTCGGTATGCATATGTTGTTCTATATTGCATATTACAAGTTGGTGGGTGTAACTTGGATTTCTTTCCTTGCGCGACACTTGAATTTTGTAAGTGAAGATGGTTCAGTTATTTGCACATTTACCTCATGTAAATGCGAACCTCATAAAATTCTGTTCCAATTTTCCAATACTACAACTAATATAATTCAACTTTATAACAAAAAAGAAATGAAGAAAGGGACAAAAGAATAAGTGGTAGTGTTAGTTTTAAGTTTTAACCAAGAGCAAGTAACAAGTTACTACCTTACATTCGGTTGGGCTCAGCTATATTCCGTTTGTGCCCTTACTAAGTACAAAGTCCACCACTAAGGCACCGAATGAAACCCCATCAGCCTGAACTTGTACCTATGTTGTGAATATGAATAAAGGGTTTTTTTGACATGCAAAAGACTAAATCTTGAGCTGTTGGTTTGAATATCCATTAATTATTCAATTCTTTTCGCTTTATTTGGTGTAGAAATGAGGTAAAATTACTGTTCTTTTCCGAAGGGATTTCAGTAATGTTCTAGTGAAAGGTATATACCGAATTAGTCTCTCTTTATAACATTCCTTCAAAGGCAAAGTTGCCAATTTTACTTGCCAAAACCATGTATTAACAGTATATTTTAGCTTTCTTTTGAGTTCCTAATGCTTGAGGTCTACTTATGATTACTGCTTAATGTCGAAACATAGTTCATAACATAAAATACGTGAAAATTTTAAGTGGCCGTTAATTTGATGTGAGCAACACAATCACCTCTCTCTTTCTGTGTCGATCTCTCCATCTTTCACAAAAATGCATATAAATAGACTTCAATTAGTCTCTTTGATACAGGTTATTCAGTAACCGATTTAGTTGTTTGAGAAGATGAAAGCAGATTAATATTTACCCGATCATCATACATTAGTCTTTCATCTAGTTTCCTATATATTACTTCCCTGCTTTTCCCGGTATTCGGTAAAAAAAAATTTACGGAGATATCTTATCTTATCATGGCTTGTTTGTTTATTAAATGAGTCTTGCATCTTCGATGATAATCCTCTATCGATTTGTATTTTCGTATATTGTTTCAGGGATTGCGAAATATAAATCCAAAGCAAGGGGAGAACAAGGCAATTACATCAGGAAGTAAATTATGAATCAAAGCCTGCAATTTTTTTTTTTCATTTATTTAATATTCATATATACATCTCATGGAGAGAACTACTTCTGTTTATTATTACATGAGAAAGGCATCGATTTAGGATATATTATTATACTCAGCTCTCATGTTTTTGGAAACACAGATAATTTTTGTACTAGCTTAGATTTTGTTCCTTTTTTTAATCTTCTGTGATACCATGTTGCTATATATGGTTCAAGAGCTAAACAACCTCACATTCTTCTCATTTCATTTCATTTTTTATTTTATTTTAATTTTTTTTTAAATTTTCTAATCTTTATTGCATGAAGTACAAACAGGGGAGATTTAATTTGACCCATTTGATACATTTTAAACTCATTTTTTTTAGAGTAGGGGGTGTATATTAATTAGATTGCCAATATTTATTTGTATATATAATTATCAGTTACTATATTATATTTTACTACATCTACGTTATCGAGCTCTTTACGTCGTTGACTCGTTGTTGTTGTTGTCATCGACTCCCTCTTATTAACAAATAAGATCTTTTTTTTAAAATAAATTTTAATTGTAAAAATAAGATCGTACAACTTAACAATTCTTAAAACACCTTATCAGACCGTTTAAATAAAAGATAAGCTGTTAGAGAACAAATAAAATTTTTCTAAAAAAACATAAATTTTAATTCTAAAAATAAAATCGCACAACTTAACAATTCTTAAAACACCTTATCAGACCAAATGTAAGTGCTTATTAGTTTAAATAAGTTTAACCAAATGAGCATGAAAATTAGTTTGTCAAAACATCAATTATGAACAGTAAACAACATATTAAATTATAACATGGTTTAAAATAGGGGTCATTGCAAATATGCCATCAATGGGTACTTATTCATAAAGAGATCCAGATAAAAAACTCCTTTACCAATAAGTCCACACATGGTTCAAATTTTTATAAAGGACTAAAATAACCCCTCATACTTTAATATGCTCCAATTTCATCCTTAACTTTATTTAACCTCAAATTGACCCTAAATTTCACAAATTATTCAATTTTGACCCAAAATTTCTTTTTTTTTTTCAAAATTTTTTTTTCCCCACCGGATTCCGGCGTTGACTTTTTTCGATTTTTTTTTCGTTTAAACAACAATACTGCTGTGATTGACAGTAATACTAACTATCTTACTGTTAAACACAGTAAAATTAACTAAACTACAGTTTAACACAGTAATATTGCTATATTAATCTCTAGCACAATAATATTAACACAACAAAACTCATTATTATTGTGTAATAGAGTAATATTACTGTGTTGACCGTTCAACAAATGTAAACATAAGCAAAAACCAAAAGAATTAATATTACTGTGAGTGACAGAAGTTTTACTATAACAACAGTAATATTACCATCAACCACAGTAATATTACCGTCAACCACAGTAATATTACAAGAATAGATAGTAATGTTATTACATTACTCCGTGAATAACTCAATCAAATAAAAAAATCCAAACAAAATAATAATATTGATAATCCAAACAAAATAATAATATTGATGTGGTTGACAACAATATTACTATAATAGACAGTAATATTATTACGTTACTCCTGAATAACTCAAACAAAACAAAAAACCCAAAAAAATAATAATATTGATGTTCTTGACAGTAATATTATTGTGTTTACCGTTATTTTACTGTCAACGACAATAATATAATTACGTTGACTTGTCAACAAATCAAACAAAATAAAAAAAAACAACAAAAAATAAAAAATAATAATATTACATTAATTTACTGTCAACGGCAGCACAATTACATAAAATGTATTGTCAACGGCAGTACAATTACTTTAATTTACTGTCAGTGACAGCACAATTACAGTAACGTTTAGCGGCGGACGTAAAAAAAAAAATAACAAAAAAAAAACTTAAAAAAGTCAACGCCGGAGACCGCCGGAAACCGGCGAAAAAATCCGGAAGAAAAGAAAAGAAAAAAAAAGTCAATGCCGGAAACCGGCGAAAAAATCCGAAAGAAAAAAAATTTGAAAAGTCAACGTCGGAGACCGGCGTTGACCGCCGGCCAATGCCGAAATCCGGCGGCAAAAAAAAAGTTTTGGGTCAAAATTGAATAATTTGTAAAATTTGGGGTCAAATTGAAATTAAATTAAGTTAAGGATGAAATTGGAGCATATTAAAGTATGCTCCAAAAAAAAGTCAAAAAAAAGTCAAAATTTATTTTTAAAAGTTTTTGCAAACACCACCTTAGAATAACATGAAGCTAAGCTTACAATCTCTTAAAAATATTTTATAAGATGTTTAAGAGCTTATAAGCTATCAAAAGATATGAGGTAATTTTTTTTGAAAATATCTTAGTTTTAAAAAAAAAGTGTTAAGTGGCTTTTAAGCTGTTTTAAAAAAGTATCTCCACCCCATTTGTTTTCTACAAGATTTTATTTGCTCATTTACTAAAAACATTCATCATATAATATTGCACTCAAGCAACTTATAAATCCATATCCAAACACCTTAAAATATCTTTTAAATAAAATCTATAAAATTGTCAACTTCTAAAACTTCTTATCAGATGTAGAAACTTATAAAATGTTTTAAATAAACTTAGTCAAACAAAATAAAAGTTTGGTGAGCGTCAATTTAGAGTTTAGTCCCTCAAAATGTAATGAGCAAAAAAGGGACAAATTGTATAGATAGTTGATTTTGCTACCTTGGAATCCCACCCAATACATGTTGGGATTGATCTTTCCTATTGAATTCTCACTTCCTTTAACATAAAAACGCTTTAATCTTCATAACAATTATAGGGCTTTTTTGACTTGTTTCTCAACCTCGATGCTTATACTTGCAATATATATATATATATATATATATATATATATATATATATATATATATATATATATATAAAAATCGGCCGAGGCGGCCGATTAATCGGTCTCCGAGGCGGAGGTGTTAAGTGTATATTTTTACACTTTATCGTATCTTTTTATTTGAACTTTTGGTGTGTTTTAATGACAATTGGTGCTTAAAAAGTTGATTTATTGTATTTTAGGTACAAATTGAAGAATTGGAAAAGTATGGGGTCAAAACTGCAAATTCGGAGAAAAAGTGTGCCAAAAGTGAAAATATTGAAATTCTGGAGAATTAAGGACCGGACGGCCGTCCGGATTTTAAAGCCTAA